CTTTTAAAAATGTATTACCATATAAATTGAAATCTGGTGGTAAAACAACTGAGGACTGAATACTGAGTACTGAATAAATTGTTCTCTACATTTTTGACAATCCATAAAACTAGAAAGCTCCTGCTGTGTTTGCAAACATAAGTTGTGATTGCATACATTGTTATGAAAAAAATAAAAATCCAACAAACGATTTATAGCCAGGTATCTACATTGAATTAAGGTTTTCCTGTTGTTCCAGTTTAATCTTTGTTATGGTTTCACTATTTGGCTTTGGACAGATTATATTTTTAACTTTCATATCTCCCAACAATAATAGATGGACAGCTACAGACTTGTTTGCGATACTGTATAGAATAAGAATATTAATACCCTTAATCAAGCCAGAATTAATCTAATGCAGGTAGTCCTCAACTTATGACTATGACTGAGACCAGAACTTCTGTTGTGAAGCAAGGCAGTTGTTAAGTGAATCACACTCAATTTTATGACCTTTTTGCCATGGTTGTTAAGCAAATCACTTGTAGTTGCTAAGTTAAAATTACATGGTTGTTAAGCAACCCCACTGACTTTGCTTGCTGGAAACCAGCTGGGAGGGCTGCAAATGGTGATCACATGACCTTGGGAAGCTGCAATCATCATAGATACATCCAAATTGCCAACTGCACCAATTTTGATCATGTGATCGTGGGAATGCTGCGATTGTCATAAGTGCAAGTACTAGTTGTAAGTTATTTTTTCCAGTGTTGTAACTTCAAATGGTCACTAAATACATGGTTGTAAGTGGAGCACCACTTGTAAGGAGTCAGTATTGGTTAGATGTGGAGGGAAGAATGCTTAGCTAAATAGGCCATTAATTTGAACTAGCTGCGTTTCTTTCTTATGCGTAAACATACATTTTAAATATTTAAAGTTTACCTAAGTACTATAGTACATAATTTAAATAATATTTCAGTGTAAACTTTTAAAGTCCTGTTATTCTATAGCATGAGGCTGATTGGCTGAAATAAACCTATTTCAAGCTACAGTATTCCCTTTTGATCTGGAGGCCATAAATCCCTAAATTCTGAGCTACAAAATTGCAGACTATGAGGCAACAGCAAACAGGATTTTTGTTCAATGTTGCAGCTGTCAGGACTGTATTTACTTTGTGTACAACAGTGATCAACATAGCCTTCTGCTCGTTAACACTGGAAAAATGGTAAAAACAGAACATAAAACCCATAAATTCAACAGAATGATACCCTTGATGATGCAGGCCCATCATTCTCCATATGGTCTCTGGAAGAGGTGTTTTCCTCAATTTCTGGGACGGTACTAACCTAGTCTCAAGAGGAATGCTATTCTATAAAATAAGGAGTAGAACATAAAAGTAAAATTTATAAGCTCCCAAAGGGGGACCACTCACATTTTTTTTGTCCAGAAACACACTAGGTGGGTCAGTTCCACTAGGAGAAAGTGATACTGAAACTGTAAACTGCCTCCGGAAAGGTATTGGTGGTCAATTCAGGACCTGGGGCACAGATGTTCCCTGGTTTATGATGTGGAAAGGGAATTTCACGAAGGCAGTAGTGTCGCAAAAAACAGGAAGAGCCCAAGGGGAACATCAGGTCAGCCAGAAAACAAACTTACATAGGAAAAGGAATCAAATAAAAAGTATTAAAGAATCCCTATAGACAAAAGCCTAAGTAATTAAGAAAACTAGACAAATAGGAAAAGGAAACAAAAGATAATTTAGAAAACCCTTACAACCCAGGACATACCAAATAAGCAAAACAATCAGACAAAAGATACAAAATATAAAGTACAAAAGGGACAGACAGGAGATTGCCACAGAACAAATATGAAAAACTATCTTAACGCTAAAAGAGATTACAGAAAACCAATAATACAATCTGGCCACCCTGCGGAGTTTGCCCTCCGATGAAAATAGAGACAAACTCAAACAGGATTTGAAACATTAGGCACAAATACAAACACTCACACATAATCAACTTACAAAGGGAGAAAAGGGTATAAAAAACCTGTTGTGTCCATAGACTGACTGAAATCTTCAATCCGGTCCGCGCTTCAGGCGGGAGCGCTGACTGCTCCCATTGGTTGATGCCGTTTGACAGCCGGCTATAAAAGGCGCTATCAAACAGCATCAGCTGTTGCCGCCAGCTGACTGCCTGCTAGCCCCGGCAGCCGCGGCAACTCTTTATTCATTGAATAATTGCTGTTAGCTCTGTGTCTGCCTCGTATCTACCGCCGCTCCACAACAAAACCGGGGCTTACCATAAGAAGCTAGCTAGCCCAGGAACGCAGACTTCTCGCTGTTCTCCACCTTCCTGAAAAATAAAAAGATCCAGCTTTCAGGCAGTTGTCCGTATCCTTGTGCCGGAGCTCTCCCAGCGGGAAAATTGAATCCTCGAAAGAAAGGTATTTTGACACCTTTCAACAATGAGTTTTTGAAAGATTTTTTAAATTTCACCTTTATTTCTTTATAAGTAACTCAGGGCAATGAACATACTTAATCCTGTTTCTATTTTCCACATAACAACCCTCTGAGGTGAGTTGGGCTGAGATAGTGACTAGCTCAAAGTCACCCAGATGGTTTTTCATGCCTAAGGCAGAACTAGAACTCACCATCTCTTGATTTCTAGGCCAGTACCTTAAGTGCTACAACAAACTGGCTTTTGACATTAAGACAATGTTTCCCAACCGTAGCCATTTTAAGATATGTGGACTTCAATTCCCGAATACCCCAACCAGTAATGCTGGCTGGGGAATTCTGGGAATTGAAGTCCATCTTAAAATGGCTAGGGTATTCTGAGAGCTGAAGTTCAAACATCTTAAACAACTCTGGGTGTTATGTGAATTTTGTTGTATGTGTATACTATGTATATACGTACAGTGGTGATAAATAATAATAACAACAATAATAACAACAACAATAATAAAAACTACCCTACTTGGAACAGCTTAAATCCTCCGATGCTACCTGAACAGCTCCTAGGTCCTTGGTTAGGACTCGAGCTGTTGTTACCAACCAGCCCGAAGGCTGTGAATCTCACTAAAGATTTAATAATAATAATAATAATAATAATAATAATAATAATAATAATAATAATAATAATAATAATAAATAATCATCGTTGATCAGCTAATCGTAATTCAGTTATCCTTGAGTCTGGTTATTCTTGTTTCCATAACTTGTACATCCTTTTTTGGTAGCCTCGTTTTTCTGGTTCTGCTTTGTAGTAGCATTTCATTACAGTGCGGTTCTCTGACATGGTGTATTTCTGCCACTTCTGAGGTTGTGCAGCTTCCAGTAGCCCTGCAGGCCCATGCCCTGGTTGCTCAGCTATGGGACCCATGGCCTGTAGCCCATTTGTCGATGTATGCCCAGGTTCCCCAACACCCGAATGCGGTCCCTGTTAACCCGGGCGATGACCGAGCCAGTATAGGCCTCGTTCAGTTGTGTTTTACTATGATTCATTGCACAGGTTGTTGGGTGCACTCAGTTCTGCTCCTCGGCCTAGACCTCTCTGACATGGTTGGACCTGCTGGTAGTTTGCACTACTGCCAGCACAGCTCTCAGCTTCATTGGAAAAGCTAAGCCCTCAGTACGTCAAGGCGGCACCCCGTGGGGGGCATGGACAGTTCCTTGAAAAGATCCAAGGAAAAGTAGATAAGGAAAAGACCTGGTTATGGCTGACCAACGGAACACTGGAGAAAGAAACAGAAGGCCTGATTCTTGCAGCCCAAGAACAAGCCATCAGAACAAATGTAATCAAAGCCAGAATAGAAAAATCTGCTGATGACCCCAAATGCAGACTCTGCAAAGAAGCGGATGAAACTATTGATCACATACCGAGCTGTTGCAAGACAATAGCTCAGACTGACTACAAATAACGTGACAACACAGTCGCTCAGATGGTCCACTGGAACTTGTGTCACAACTACCATCTGCCTGTAGCAAAGAATTGGTGGGATCATAAGCCTGAAAAAGTGGTCGAAAATGAGCATGCAAAACTACTATGGGACTTCTGAATACAGACTGACAAAGTTTTGGAACACAATACCCTGGATATCACGATTGTGGAGAAGAAAAAAGTGTGGATCGTCGACATTGCCATACCTGGTGACAGCAGAATCGACAAGAAACAACTTGAAAAAGTCACCAGATATCAGGACTTCAGAATCGAACTGCAGAGACTCTGGCATAAACCAGTGGAGGTGGTTCCGGTGGTACTCAGCACACTGGGTGCTGTGCCTAAAGACCTAGGCAAGCACTTAAAAACAATTGGCACTGACAAAATACCATTGGTCAGCTGCAGAAGACTACCTTACTGGGATCTGTTCACATAATCCGCCGATACATCACACAGTCCTAAACTCTTGGGAAGTGTTCGATTAGTGATTTGTGATATGAAACCCAGCATGGTTATCTTGTTTGCTGTGTATACTGTCATTTTTGTTAATAATAAATAAATAAATAATAATAACAATCACAATAACAACAATAATAATAACTAAGGTTGGGAAACACTGCATTTAAAAAGACTGCTGCATGCTGGGTGATTTTCTAAGGTAGTTCCTGCAGAGTGCATTGCAGTAGTCCAACTGTGCAGTGAGAATGATTCCTGATGTCAAGTCTTCCCATTCCACTGCTGCAAGTAACATTAATCTAGCATGTAGGGAGAAATACTAAAGTGTGTTTTAAAAAGCAAGCACCAGTCTGGGTGTCACAACCACAGAGATTTTTCAGTATTCAACAAGCATCATTCCTTATTTGAAGTGCGGTCAATCCATTCAATGATTTTCCAAACCTGGCCACTTTAACAAGTGTGGACTTCATTTCCCAGAATTCTCCAGTCAGTATGTGGCCGAGCTTGAAGAACACTGATCCACACCAATCAAATAGCAGGTGGGAATAAAGGCAAGCCAATGAGAACTTCGGATGAACAATCGCGCAGGCAAACGTGAGCGGAAGTAATGAAGCACGTACAGTAAGGAGGCAACGGCCACGCCCCTAAAAAGAACAAAGGGGCGGAGCTCGATAGTACTCGGGGAACAACGATTCAGGAAACGGAGTACATTTGTGGAGATTTTTAGCACGGTCATAAGCATCGGGGATGAACATTCTTCCCAAAAAGTCGTGGCACGTCCGCAACAAAGACAATGTGGCTCGCGTACGACGGGACGAAGCGGAGGCTGAAGTTCAGAGGCAAAAGAGGGAGGCCCGCGTCCTGCTGGCTGAACAGGAGGTAAATAGTCACGAAGGGGCATGCGCAAAGGGGGCCGTACTCTTAGGTTTGGAATTATTGCGCGTGCGCTGTATCCCAAGTCGAGGCAATTGATTTAAAACATTCTACTGCGCATGCGGATTCGGTCCATCTGTTTTTCTGTGGAGGGAATGTCTCAGTTCTGGGAAGGGAATTGAACATCAAATTCATTGTGATAATACTTTGGTACATGCATCTAATCAAATCCATAAGAGTTAAGTGCTTCCGAATGGACAGATCTAACTCCCTAGTGTGGAAGTGAGGTCAAAACTGTTTCCAGAGACCTAGCTAACCCCGTTTGTCTACGCTTCAATGGGATCTAAACATTCTGTCTTGATTCTGTCTCCTTGTGCATTCTGCTTACAGAATGACCCTTCATTCATCTTCCTGAATGGATTAATAAACAAAGCCAAACCCGGATTTTATCCAGACTTTTAGAAAAAAATCTGAACAAGGTGGCAGACAGTTTGGTTTTGACAAGAATTGTATTCCATTGTCAAAATCAAAGTGCCTGCCATCTTGTTCAGATTGTCTGTATTCTGTAACAACAAAAGCATCCTAAGTTTTAAAAAAGGCATTTAAACAAATCAGAAAGATGACTTGAGCCTCAAAGTTATCTTTGGGGTATTCTTACACACTCCAAGAATGAGATTTCTTTACATTTCTGGGAGGAAGATATTCCAATGATGTGGGCCATGCATTGAAAAGGCTGATAAGAGTTTTACTGATCTAATGATTCGATTTACATACCTGCCCACCTCAACAGTGATTCTGAATGGAGATCAGTGATAAAAATGAAACAATACACATGCACACAAACCAAAATACACAGCAACTGAGAAAACCCAAGAGTTTTCACTGATGCAGGAGACTGATCACTTGGCGCATTCAGAGCTCCAGAACTGAACATAGTGCTAGATCTTTTAAGCGCTTTATGAAAGACAGCAATTGTATCCTAGATTTTAATTGGCAGCTAATTTTGAATGTGAAACAGAATTCAATATCTGGGATTCTTCTGTACATCTGGCTTGAATAGATGAAACTTGAGAAAAGCCTGATTTAAGAATAGTCAATCTGAAAGGCCCTAGTTTTAAACTGAGGAACTAAATTCTTTGCCAAAATCGATTCTGCTTAATCTGGGATTTGATTGAAACCAGGATTTCTGCTGCTGTTATTAAATCAATGGAAAAATAGAAGAGAATAGAAGAAAACTGGTAAGGTATCATAAGACTATTGTTATTCTTCTAAATGTTGAAATATTCCATTGTTATTTCCTTTAATCTGAAGCTTAATATGGAGGGAACCAATGAATAAGATGTAAAGCTCTGTATAATGTATTAAAAGTGTCTTTTTCTGGACTTCTCCCACGCTTATATTCTAACATTCTTTTAATATTATTTTCTTTGCCTTTTCTGACACAGTCTAAATATACCCTGAATTGAATAATTTATCTTTACTACGACAGGGTCAATTATCTTGCAAGAAATTAAATAGACCAATGTGAGAGATTAAAAAGTTGGAAAAGTGATTGTTGATACATAGAGAATGATACAAGATAAGGGAAATGTTCAAAATCAAGGATCTGCCATTATTTATGTTCTTGATTGTATTACTGTATTCCTATCATCTGAAGAGATCTGGTAAAGTCTAATTTAAAGGATAGCTGATTTATTTACATTCTGTTTAAACACAATAATTAAATGTAGACTCTGGCTTGAAAGATTTTTTTTATTATCTTCTTACTTGCTCTTGATCTGAAACACACAGAGACTTCCATACTATTTAGGATGTTATCTAGAACAAATTGGGGTATTGACCTACATATGAGCCTTGGATAAATATCTGCCTTTTGATTTTAGGCCCGGACTGAATTCTTACGGAAGAAAGCACGTCTGTCAGATGCAGGAGGTGATAAGAGTGGTTTAGACCTTGTTTCTTTGGATTCAAAAAAGCCCTCAGGACACCTTAACCTCTTTCAGGGGTTGCAAGAGGGCGGCAACAAAGAATATGAGGAGGAGAAGAAGCAGGAAAAGGTAATGGTGGAAAACTAGGATTGGAGATTACCAAAATTCTAATTTCTCTAATTTACCTAAGTGGGCACTGAAAGCCTTGGGATAGGCAGGTTTCTGTTTATGGGTTCTGGGAACGAAATATGGACAGTAGTATTAATATTTAGGTATAGATCTTTTAAATATATTAAATCTGCTTGTTGGTAAATAGAATCCCGATTTAGCAGGATTTTTTTTTACACTAAATGCATTTTTCCTTCCTGGTACTCTAAACAACTTCAGGCTAATATGTCAATGAAAACTCTCAGTCATCCAGGCAAAAGTGTCTGAAGGTTGAATCATGGCAACTGGATTCAACTTTCAGATACTTTTGCCTGGATGATTTGGGTGTTTTCATTGACACATTGCAATGCATTTTGGAGAGGAAACGCATGAGGTTATGGCAAGAGTTGATACCCAAAGACTCTCTTCATAGCTTCTTTGCTCTGACTTTTAAAGCTGCCTGGAGGAGCAGCAAAACATCTCAAAATAAAAAAAAAATTAAATCCTGTTGCCATGATTCAACCTTTAGATAGCTTCAGTTACTTTTTGCATTCTAAATACCATGTTCTTGTACTTTAAACCACAGTACCACAGTGCCTGTTGGTTAATTAAATTAATTAAACCTGTCAGAAGGGTGGGATTATAATTCATTAGTGATATTCTGCATTGGGTCCCAGGGAGTTCACTGAATCCACAATAAGCAGTTTGCTTTAGGGAAGAAGAATAGGGAAATACTCCTTTGGATAGAATTATATACGCACTATAATGTGTGTGTGTGTGTGTGTGTGTGTGTGATGGATGGATAGCATGAGTAATTTCCTTGGCTTTTTATACCTTACAGGAGCGAAAGGAAAAAGCTCTAGGAATCCTAACTTACTTGGGCCAAAGTGCAGCGGAGTCTCAGACATCCATTCCCTGGTACCAGGAGCTGCCAGATCGTAGCAAAGCCATTGCCAAGGATGAGAAACTTAAGGGAAGGCTGGACCCTCTGGCTGAGATGGGGAAACATTTATACAAGAAGAAATGCTCTCATAAAAAAGAAGAAAAGAAAGAAAAAGGAAAACCGGAGCACAATGAAAGCAAAGGAAAACTCGCACTCAGGTGGGTATCCTTTTTGTTGTGCACCCAGGAAAATTGTCAATATTGAGCAGCAAATGGCTGGATCAACTACTCATTCTTTGCCAGGCAGCTTTGATTTTGGGAGACAAGATAGGGAGAAACTGACTTGTCGCTAAACTGAAGCTGTTACTTGATGTAGAGTATCAACCTGTAATTGAATGCTGCAAGAAACAAACTATGGTTAATATTTAGGGTATATGGAGTGTTTTTTTTTTTTTTGCCAATATTGTTGGAAGAGATATCACTCTGGAAAGCAGAATGTAGGATGGTGGGCCTACTGGCATTTGAGGATTAGATCAGATTTTTTACATGGCTGCCAAACTACCTTCGCCAGGCCAGTGTTTTAAGTGTTATTTTCGGATGCAAACTGCATTGCATCTTTTGCTTGTCTGGAATAAAACCAGCTTATGTGTAGCTATTATAGAAAGACAGGGCCAGTGGTGGTATTCAGCCTGTTCGCATTGGATCGGGAGAACCGAATCTGGCGTGGGTCGCTGAACCGGTAGTAAGTTCTGGCTGGCCACGCCCCCCACCTGCATTTTTTGCCTCCCAGAGCCCCAGAGGAGCCTTAGGGGAGCAAAAATGCCCCCCCCCCCGAGGCTCCTCTGTAGCTAAGAAGCTCCCAAAAATGGGTGGGGACTGCAAAAACAAAAAAAGCCACGCCCACCCAGTCACATGGCCATGCCCACCAAGCCATGCCCACAGAACTGGTAGTAAAAGTTTTTGAATCTCATCACTGCCCAGGGCATGTGCTGAAGGTACATGACAGTATCAGCCATGTTGGAGTTAAGCTGATTAAAAGAATAGCCCAGTGATGCCCAAAGAACACGTGCACGCACATCCCAAAATGGAATGTGCACAAGGCCCCCGCGCATGCAGCCTGCCTCTGCATGCACCCCCCCACACACACATGCATGACAGAGACCCAAAGACCAGTTGGCCAGCGGAAGGCATGCGTGGCAGAGCTGACCTGGGCGAGGCTTGCCTGCCCACAGCGAGGGTTGTCTGTGCCACCTCTGGAACATGTGCCATAGGTTCGCCATCACAGGAACAGCCCTTCTAATTCTACAGTAGTCAAGATACATATGCTACTTTTAACCGGGTCCTGAGAAGTAGAGCCAGGTTTGTGCTGCTGTGCTGCTATACAGGTAGTCCCTCGACTTACGACCACAATGGAGCCCAAAATTTCCATTGCTATTGCTAAACAAGACAGCTGTTAAGTGAGTTGCGCTGCATTTTACAATCTTTTGGACCGCTGCTAAGCGAATCACTGCAGATGTTAAGTGAATTTGGCTTCCCGCTGACTTTGCTTGTCGGAAGCTAGCTGGAAAGGTTACAAATGGTGATCATGTAGCTTTGGGACAGGGCATCTATCGCAAATGCATGCCCCTTGTCAAGCGCCCAAATTTTGAACAAGTGGCCACTGGGGATACTGCAAGGATGGTAAGTGTAAATACCAGTCATGTCATTTTTCTCATTGACATTGCAACTTCAAATGGTCACTAAATGAATGGTTGTATGTCAAGGACTAACACTTAGTGCTTTACAGCAGTTTCTGAGTGGTTTATAAATATTAGCATATTGCTGCCAACAATCTGGATCTTCATTTTACTGACCTTGGAAGAATGAAAGCCTGAGTCAAACTTGAGTGCTGTCAGGATCGAACTCCTGACTGTGGGCAGAATTAGCCTGCAATACTGCATTCTAACTACTGTACCATCATGGCTCCTACTACCTGTAATTCCCTAAAATTCAGTGCATGCTTGGAGAGCCCAAAACGCCTGATTAATGAGGAGACAGAATTCAGGGAAACCGTATCTTTGCCTTCCCTCATGAATTGATGAACTTTCCTGGGCCCCATGTCTCTTCTCTTTCCTCCCTGTTGCTTTCCTTTTTCCTCTACAGGCCTCCATCTTCTTCCCCATCATGCTCTCTGGAACAGCTCCGCCAGGAAAGGTTGCAGCGGGAACGGGCAGAACGAGCTCGAACCGAATCTCTTCTTGCCCAGAGATCTGGAATGGGCCCACGCCAGGAGGAAGAAATGGAAATGGATGAAAGGAAACGTGGCTACAACTCACAGTTCAACCCTCAGTTGGCAAGACAGAGGGCAGTAAAAGACAGTCGAACTGAGTGGGTATAAAGCAGGAAATCTGCTTGGTCATACCCAATTTCTTCAGCTGAAAATGTTCAGTGCAAAATGCTTCAGACTTCCTGGCCGTAAACCTGCAAAACCAGGCCATATGGCTTCAAGGATGACTTTTGCTCAATTATAATTATCACTCACTGAAACACAATATTGAGCAGGAAAGTCAGCCAAGCAATTAATGTCTATTCTTGATGTTTGTTCTGAATTGCCATAAAACATAAAAAAAGCTGGATTGATAACGGATGATTTCCCAATTCAGTAACTTATCTGCTTTATTCTTTATAGCCTTCCTGAATAAAAATTTAAAAATATATTACGGGGCACCATATTGATGATTCTGAATTTAATTGTAAATGCAGCAACAGCAAACCTGGAGAACTGAGGCAGGGCCATATCTATCTATCTCAAAATATTAGTTTACTGCCCTAAGAGATGGACCAAGGTACTAGTCAAAAGCACCAAGTCTGGCATACACTGAGACGACTTCAAGAATGAATGGTGGAAGATCCCAGAAGTGGTGAGGGGGTCATTCTTCCACTTTTTTGTATGTGGTCCCGTTGAGAAAATTAGTATTGCCAGTTTTCCTGCTTTTGTAATTCAGTGCTCATCTTCGTATGTGACCATCTGCCATTATAGAGGAATGAGCATGAGAAAGGTTTTGGCCCACTGTGAAGATTTAACCTTGTAATAAGAGCATTTCAGAGGCAGTCGTAATGTTCTATTTTTTTTAGATGTGAAAGACTGGAGCACTTCACGGTAATGCAGGCTAAGTGATGTAGAAAAGGTTATGATGTGTTAATTAGCCAAGTTATGTAAAAACGGGACTGTACTTTTCCCAGAATTTGAGACTACAAAAACAATCTTAAAACAATTATGTAGTTTTGCTTGGCTTGCTCTATTGTAAGAAACTGAGATTGGTTTGTAATGTGGGACTTAAAGCTTAGCATGCTATGTATTGTAATTATGATTGACTGTTTGTGATCAGATCATTGCAGGATTCTCGAGGTTGGTTGTGAAATAAGTGGCCACAATTTGCTTCAAATGTTGCTTGGTATGGCTTTTTCATTATTCAAATAAACATTTACCTTTTTAATATATTCTCGTTCAGATGTCCTGGTCAGCCATAAGCTATATTATTTTGGAATACTACAAACTGTCACAAAATGTAGCAAATAGCCTTGTTCAAAGCTAAGGAAATTTACTTCTAGTCATACTTATAAAAATAAATTTAGGCTTTAGGCTTCTAAGTAGGCTTTATAGAGAAAGGTGTGACATTATTGCCACTACATGTATAGTTCATGTATAGTGAATGTGGCTTCCAGCCCTTAAATGGGTTCAAAAGGATAGCACTGGAGGCAATAAAGATAATTCTTGAATTACAACCGTTCATTTAGTGGCCATCTGAAGTTAAAACAGCACTGAAAAAAGTGACTTCTGACACTTTTTCAAAAGTACAACCATTGCAGCATTACCATGGTCGATCAACATCCAAACATTTGACAACTGATTCATAGTTGCGGTGTCCCAGGATCATCTTTTTGACAAGCAAAGTCAGCGGGAGAGCCACTTAACAATCACGTTGTTAACTGAACAATTGCTGTGGCAAGAAAGGGTGTAAAATGGGGCAAAATTCACCTGTCTTGCTCAGCCACAGAAATTTTGGGCTCAATTTTGGTTGTTAAGTCAGGGGACTACTTGTATTATAATCCAGGGAGCCTTCAGACAGGACTTGAGTATAGTGTGCTGACTCATTCTGACTCACAGCTCATATCCCAAAAGATTACGGAGTCCTACCCCCCCCCCCGCAAGGTTTGATAGTTTTTGTCCCCCTTCCCTGTACAACAGAAGAAGAACACTCATATAAAACTATTTATTCATAAATATTTTCCAAAATGAAAATAGGCTTACGAAAAAATATCTTAACAGCGGCGTGGGCAGGATGCTCCAGTTCAGGGGGCTGGTTGAGAAAAGAGATCAGTTACACCTCCCCCACCCCTCAGAGTTTCCACGTGTGTCTCCCTTTCCAATTAGGAACAAATTGCAAGTCTTACTGGGGTGCGGGGGTGGGGGGGGCGTGTCTTCCTGTGAGAGGAGCAGCAGATTAGATACAAGCTCTTATCCAATTTACGGTGGCAATATTTTGGAAGGTTGGAAAGGAGAAGCAGCAGTTGGGCGGGGGGAATGGGGGGACAAGGTAGAATCCCTAAAATCATCGTTCCAGACACGACAGGGACTCTTTCCAACAAGGAGGGCTTAAAGGCCACCTAAGGGGTTCTAAAATGGCCTTTAAGGAGCCCTCCTTGCAACTTGCAAGAAAACAAAAAACAAGTAAAAAAATTATGGCAGCCAAAAACTGACGGGCCAATCCATCAGAATTTCTGTGGTCACCGGGGAGCCTTTGTAACCTGAGGTTGATGCTTCCAAAATTTGCAAATCCTGTTGTTTTTGCCAATTTGCCATTTCCAGCAGTGGCGGGTGGACGAGGGGGTCGGAGAGCGGTCACCACAAAGGTTCATGGGACCCAATATTGTCAAAATCTAGTTTGGTGAGGGCTGGCAAGAGGGCAATTGGGGTGTTCGTGTTTGCTGCAATAATTACGGGGCTGAAATGCTCTTATTTGGAACACACACAACAAAATGGAGAACAGGGGAAGTCACTCTTTTGGTGGGATTCTCAAATTCTTTTTTTCCCCCCATTTAATCATTCTGACAGCCAAACCTGGCATGCAGGAATGGCGTTTCCCCCCCCCCCCCCCGTTTCTGACCTCTTCACAGGCAGAAGAGAGCAAAGAAAAGGCAGAGGAGAAGCCTGCCGCTGCCGCTGCCCCTCCTCCGTCCTGCGGTCATTTTTTAAAACTTGCATGCATTTTTTTTTTAAACGTGCGGCTTGCCCCCTCCCACCCCGGATGTGATCTGGGGAGGAAGATGAAGAGAGGTGAGGGGTAGGTGGGTCTTCCTTTGCTGCCGCCCTCAACACACTGCCACAGCTGTCTCTGGAAGGAAAACTTGGCACCCCCTGCTGGCTCCAGGGCATCACTGCAGGTCCCGGTCTTCCAGGTAGCGGTATTCAAAGGTGAAACCCTCCTTTTTGCGCTGGCCCCATTTCTCGTAATCAAAGTAGATGTAAGTGCCCTGAGCAGAAACAGGGAAACACAACACAATTCGTGACCTCTTGCCTGACTGAACACAATTACTGGTACTAAAGGAAATCCTGGGCTCTGTTGCCAAGATGATACCTGCTTTCATACGTGAAAGCAGGAGTCCTGTGGCTTTAAGTAGGCCTGGTTCTTAAAAGCCTCACAGAAGGTTACAAGTTTACACAAACTTGAAGTTTACAACATTGGCAATTTGGGAAGAAGCAGTTCCTTCACACCTTCCCTTGTGTGAGGGTGAGGTACGGAAGAATCAAAAGCATCCTTTTTTCTGTTTTGGGCGATGGGAAAATGGCACAGTCACTTTTTTGGGTGATGGACGACATCAGCCGCAAAAGGACCTCCATCTTGTCTTCTTTAAGGAATGAGATATGAGTAATTTAGCAGATGGGTAATTGACCACATTTACAAACATTCGTCCATGCAGCTGACTGCAGCAGAGAGAGAACTGGGACCAACTCATTCACCAACGTATACATGGCATCACCCTGGAATCTGCATAGCCTAGGTTCATTATATTATAGGAAAACAACTTCTAATTCTTATGGAAGAATAATTAATTTAAAAAATCTGCAGAAGGCACCAGGTTTTTCCAAACAGGAACCGGATTTAGTTAATTCTTCTGTTTTCCCTCTATTCTGCCCATGAAAGTTATAAGAAACAATACATTCTTAAAACCCTGATGAAGGCACAGCTACTATTTCAAGTGCAGAAAAGGTGACCATGATCTTAAACAGTGCCTCATGCTCCGTAAGGGTATATTTGGAATAGTTATGACCTATCCCTGCTGTGCCAAGTAAGAATGGATAATGATTGTTTGGACCTTGATTTCAGATTAAAAGAAAAAGAATGCCCCTTATGACCTGTATGGTAACTAAACCCTGCATTGCTACAATAAATACAAGGTCATAGCTGTTGCTAATCTGAATCAAACTGGGTTTTTTTTCTTTTTAACTGTTTTTACAGATAATTTTTGACTTACAACTGTTTGCTTAGTGACCATTCAAACTTACAACAGGCCACCCCAGGCCTTCAACTCAGATTCAAAGTTCTGATGGCTTCTCCCCTGGTCACATGATTGCCTTTTAAGCACTCAGCAACCTCCCATATTTATGGCCGCTCACATATCCTGTAATTAGGTGACTTACAATACTGGGGAAAAAAACACCCACTGTGAACAATGGATTCATCTAATGACTAGAGTGTTTGCTTAACGACCACTGCAAAAAAAAAAAAAGACTGTAAAGTCAGGTGTTGTCACAGGGTGACCTGCTTAATGACTGGCATGACTTACAACTGTAATTCTGGGCTCAAGTCAAGGAATACCTGCATATACAATTTACTGAGCGTTGAATAACAACAACAAAAAAATGACTAAGACTTGAGAATTGCTCAAAGTCCTTGGAACGAGCTTGTTCCCCACACAAAATGCCATGTTGTGTGAAGTGCTCTGCTCAAAATGGACAATTACACGCTCAGTTGTGTTCTTCCTATGAGGAACAGATCACCAGGTAAATACAGGTAAAATTGTATGGACGGGCCCGTCTTCCGCTACCTTCACCCTCACCTGCTCAAACTCATCAGTGATGGTCTTGGGTTCTTCGTGCCGCTGAAACCACATCATGTACTTTGTATGGAAGCGCCACGATTGCTTCTTCAGTGCCTTCGCTGCCAGGTATTGTGCCTTCGTACCCTGTGAAGTGAGAGAGGGAAAACAGATCAGAGCTGTGGGCTTTTATGGGTTGAGGGAAGACGCACAAGGCAGTCCTTCACAGGCAGGAGCCAGCGAGGAGAGGCAGCACGATCCTTCTCCGACTACCCAAAGGGGGTGGGGGGGAAGGGGCTGCCTGTTACCTCCAGGTAGTAGAAGATGAAGAAAAGAGTCTCTGTGGAGAGGCGCTGGTAGAATTCCACCGTGTCGGAGTGTGGAGGAGGCATCTGGTGGTGGTATGGAGGAGTCGGACAGGGATTCCGAGGCAGGTATTGCCTGTGAGATGGGGACGAGACGGGAGAACAAGAGCAGAAAAGACAGAAGTAAGACTACGAGAAAATCAGGGAATTCACATGATTTCTGTGAGTTCTCCCCGGCATAACAACACAGGCTCCTAAGTGTGGGGAATAATAATATCCCGCCTAAATCCTTCCTCAACTGATGGCCATCTGAAGTCTGGATCCTAAGGTGGTCAGGGCCCATTCCCTCCCTCTTCCCACTATAGCCTGCATTCTCATGCACAGCATTAGGAGCGAGTCCCAAAGGTTCTTTTTCAAGAGGCAACTGGACTTTTGCGGGTGGGGTGGGGTTGGAAGATATTTCACTCCTCATCCAAGGAGCTTCTTCAGCTCTTGAGAAGTAAAATATCTTCAAAGAAAAACCAGAAAGTCCAGTTGTCTCTTGAAAAAGCATCTTTGGGACAACTGTGACCTGGATGACTGAGAATCTCCATAGACATTAAGAGCGATTCTTCACAAACAGGCCAGCCCACC